ATGAAAAATAATGTGTATCAAACCCCTAACTTCAGATATCAATGTTTTATCAGAGTTATAGTCAGTGTTATATCAGTATAAAAGTCAATATTTAAGCTTTTAAAACATGAGTTGACTTAAAATATATTACATTTAATAAAATAAATGATCATTGGGTATGGCAAAAATTGAAAAGGTGATTCAAGAATGATTGCAATTTGGGGAAAACTGATATAACTGATTGATTTAAGGACATACTAACCCCTGACTATTCTAAGGTGGTTATTGTTTGTTAACTAGATGTCTAACAAGAAATTATTTTGTGAGATTTATACGTTTTATAGCTCTCAGGGTAGAGGGTTTTAAAAACCCCTGTGGCTAACTGAAGGCCAAACTTTCTTAGATTCCAATTAATTCTAATATTAAGGTAGGGTACTGCTTATCAAGAATCTAAGTGTAGACTAAATTTAATTTTATAGTTGTTGTTTTGGGGTTTTTTTTCCCCCTTCATTGTCCTGCCCAACTGATATACTTTTTGAAGAACTGGACATGAAGGGAAAATAATTCTCCAGTCTCCACTTATTACTGCTTTCTAGCCTTACTTGAATTTTCTTTCCATTTTTAAAATCAATATTTGCTCTAGCCACAGGACACTTGTAAATGTGGCTTCTTCCTAGGATGCTCTCTTACTTCCAGACATATACACACTACACACATACACTTATCCCATCCAATTACCTCCCATTCATCCCCCTGATCTCAGCTCAAAACCCTGCCTCTTCAGGGACAAGGTCACATCCCTCTGTAATGCAATCACATTGCACCCTGTTCTCCTTTGTGACCCTTACCATGGTTGATGAATATACAGTTGACCCTTGAAGAGCATGGGGGCTAGGGGTACAGGCACCCCACATAGTCAAAAATCCACATATGGGGCGCCTGGGTGGCTCAGTCGTTAAGCGTCTGCCTTCAGCTCAGGTCATGGTCCCAGGGTCCTGGGATCGAGCCCCGCATCGGGCTCTCTGCTCCGCGGGAAGCCTGCTTCTCCCTCTCCCATTCTCCCTGCTTGTGTTCCCTCTCTCGCTGTGTCTCTCTCTGTCAAATAAATAAATAAAATCTTTAAAAAAAAAAAATCCACATATAACTACTAATAACCTACTGTTGACTGGAAGCCTTTTGGATGACAAGCAGTCAATTAGCAGATGTTTTGTATGTTATATGTATTATATACTGTATTCTTTTTTTAATGTTTTTATTAACATATAATGTAGTATTTGTTCCAGGGGTACAGGTCTGTGATTCATCAGTCTTGCACAATTCACAGCGCTCACCATAGCACATACCCTCCCCAATGTCCACCACCCAGCCACCCCATCCCTCCCACCCCCCACCACTCCAGCAACCCTCAGTTTGTTTCCTGAGATTAAGAGTCTCTTATGGTTTGTCTCACTCTCTAGTTTTGTCTTGTTTCATTTTTCCCTCCCTTCCCCTATGATTCTCTGTGTTGTTTCTCAAATTCCTCATATCAGTGAGATCTTATGATACTTATATATACTGTATTCTTAGAACAAAGTAAACTTGAGAAAAAATATTATTTAAAGAATCATAAGAGAAAATACATTTACAGTACTATGCTGTATTGAAAAAAATCTACATATAAGCGCACACATGGTTCAAACCCATGTTGTTCAAGGGTCAACTTTACATTTATTTCTATGAGTGTATGTTTAGCTTCTGTCAGCCCCACTAGAGTGCAAGCTCCAGAAGAGATGGATGTGTAGGTTTTACTTAGTACAAAACAAGAGTTCAATAAGTATTTTTTCGTTTGAAGAATGACTGGTTGATTGATCCCTAACAGTGAAAATGGAATTTGTTCAAGATGGGGTTTACTTGGCTCATTAAAATAAAAAAAGGAAAGAACTGGGGTTAATTGGAATGTGGGCCAGGCAAGATGGAGAAAATTGGGGAACAAGAACAGGATTTCTCAGTAAACTGTAATTAACTCAGTATGTTAGGCTAATGGTTCACCAAAAAGAAATGTACCCCCCTACCATCTAGAGGACATTCTGCCCAGGGAAAAATGATAGTGGTGCTGGAAAGAATTACTACCTCAAGCCAGAGGGATCTGAGTGTGAATTAGCAAAACCAGAAATTTCTCAAGTTTATTAGCGGGAGGTGCCATTTCAGAAAATTAGAAGGAGAGAAAGACTTTATAACTGGATGGACCTTGTAGAGTTGCTTAAGACATGCCCCTCCCTTTATGCAAGCAGTAATAAACCACACCTCAGATAAAAGGATTACACAATCCCCCCTTGTTTTCTGATCTACTTTTGGAAAGAAGTAGCTTACTTGGAAGAAAGAGGAAGCAGTGGGTTAAGGAGCTGCCTTCCTATCCCATCTTGGCTCCACCTAGCCCATTCTACTATGCTTCTGCCAGAACAAAGCCTGGGATTCACATCTCGGGTCAGGTGGTTTCCCTGCCTAAAACTCTTCAGGACTCCATTCTACTCTCATCATAACAGCCTTAACAAGCCATCTGGCCTTGCCTGTCCCTCCAGCCTCGGCTTTTGCTCTTTTTCTCCCTCACTTCTTGTGCTGTACAGAGCAATCCTATGAACTTTGTTCCTAGAACCAGTTCTTCTACCTGGAACATTCCTGCACAACCTTCCTACTTAGCTAAGTGTGTATATGTATTATGTATACACACACATATACAAACATGGACATTATTTTCTGAACTATTAAAACATCTTGCCCCTTTACCCGTAACTACTTTAGGATGAATTTCCTAGGACAAGAACATTTTCTTATATGAGCACAATATTATTATAATAGGGAAATTTGACATTATAAAATACTATTACTAATCTTCAAATCATTTTTAAATTTTATGGCTTGTCCATTTATGTCCTTTATACCTATTTCATCTCCCCCAGGCCAGGATCCAACCCAGGATCACACATTACATTTACTTACCATATCTTTTTAGTCCGTTTAATCAGAAATAGTTCCTCTGCCTTTCTTTGACCTTTGACATTTAATACCTTTAACATAAGCTATTTATTTTGTAAAATAATCCCCAGCTTGAGGTTTCTCAATGTTTCCTTGTGACTACCGTAGAAATGATGCCATGACCTTGGTACATCATAACAGGAGGCACAGAATGCCTGGTTATACCATATTGGTGATTTTGCTTTAATCTCTTGGGTTAAGTGGTGCCTGCCATGTTTCTTTACTACAGTGATTCTTTTTTTACCATTGTAATTAATAATTTTGGGGAAAGATACTTAGAAACTATGGAAATACTCAGTTCTTCATCAAACTTAAGTCTACTTGTTTGGCATCCATTTTACATCTGCTTTATTTTTAAGAAAGCTTACTTTACAGTGTGAATAAAGAGAAGCAAAGAATATGATACAAAAAATGAACTTTTTAAAGCACCCCACCTAAAATACCTGCATCTCCCGTATCAATCCAGTCTTCCTTTTTGAAGCCCTTATTACCTAAAATTGAGAGAAGTCTGATATGTATGGCATTAGCCATGGCAAGATTTCTCGTTTGCATTTTCAACTCTATTCATGAATTATCTTTTCATTTCCTTTTCTTTTACAATAATAAAAAAATTCATGAAAGGGATATTTTTTTATAACGAGAAAGAAGATATACAATATTATTTCTGGCTTACCATATGTCATAATATTGCTTTTGGTCACATTATGATGGGCATTATAATTACATTTATTTTTTTCATGCTTGCTACAAGGGCTCACTTAAGACTGAAGAGCTCTTCTGGATTGAAAATCACTTGGATTGATTAAACTCAGGAGAATTATGATAAGGGTCAGATCATATGGGCATCAGGAAGGTAAAATATTACCATTTAAACTAGAAATGGAACTTTTTTTCCTTTAAAGAATCATATTTTCAATGACAGGTGAGGTTGCTCATTGTAAGATTAATAATAACTGATGTTCACTTGTCCATTTATTCAAAAGAAAATCATCCTGTGAGCCTAAGTGAGAAGCACCATTATATATAACTTCTCACAAAAGATGTCTTTGAATAATATCCTTCAGGATATCCTCGTTTTATTTAATAAATAAAATATGTATTTTATTTATTATTTATTAACCTCTCTTCATACAGGTAAGAATGGCCAGAGGGAAACTTGAAGGCTTGCTTACAGGTTCCATTAAAAGAGCTCAGGAACTGGAATATCCTAGATAAAGCAGTATTTGTCCCCCATCTAGGAGGATCATCTGAAAAAGTGCTCGGTTTCAGAAACCACCAAATGGAGTTGGAGAGGAAGGAAAGGGTCTCCCACCCTCACCCCCAGTCAACTACATTAAAAAAAAAAAAGTGGTGTCCACGGAATGACATTCTGTACAGCCCCAGTCACCTCAAGCCAAAGTTTCCTAGGAAAGAAACTGTCTTCTCCGTCCCACCTATTACTCTCATTTGAGGTTCTGACCACAAACAAGGTTCTCCAAAATATCAGTACCAGAAAATTTTAGAGCTAAAGAATACCTTTCCCTTTACGATACGGCTCAGCATACTTTTATGTACTATGTAATTCATTCCTTACAAAAAGCTTGTGAAAAAAGAATAAGACGAGTTTTCCTCATATTACAGTGAGGACACTGAAGACCGTGAAGGTAAAGGGACCGCTCAGTTTTAGGAACAAGCCACAGAGAGCATTCTGACCTCTGGGGGTCATAGCCCACAGGGCCATACTTTTCCTGATAGGCCTAACAAGGTCATCAGCATCCTCCCCGGATCTTAAATGCTTTCATGGTACTTATCAGGGTGCTAGTTGTATATTATTTATATGATTATTTGCTTTATGTCTCTCACTCTTGAACATATGGTTTATGGGGATTGAACCTATTTGGCTCACATTGTATCCCAGAATCTACCTTGAATGGATAGGTGGACAAGTGGGTGAGCCAGTATACCACATATTTTCTTCTGACCATGGCAACTTCCTGTGTCTGTTTTCAGACCGTAGCTTGCTGCCAGAAATGACCTTCTCAGTGGACTCATCTTGGCAGCGGTGGCAGTGGCGAGTCAGAGATGGCCTCCCCCAGTCTCCATCAGAAGCCACACCACTGTTGTCCCAAGATAAAAGGAGGCAAAGCTACAACCTGACACAGCAGCGGGTCGTGTTCCCCAACAACAGCATGTGCCACCAAGATTGGGCCGAGGTCTCCTGGAAATACTCCAGCAACAGAATCTGCACGACCAAATATACCTTCTTCACCTTCTTGCCTCAGAATCTCTTTGAGCAGTTTCATAGGTACACAACTTCTTGGCCAAGTAATATGTGCTTTAACCAAGTATTTGCCAGTATTTCTTTTTTTTTTTTAAAGATTTTATTTATTTATTCATGAGAGAGAGAGAGGCAGAGGGAGAAGCAGGCTCCCAAGGAGCAGGGAGCCCGATGCGGGACTCGATCCCAGGACCCTGGGATCATGACCTGAGCCGAAGGCAGACGCTTAACCATCTGAGCCACCCAGGCGCCCTTTGCCAGTATTTCTGAAACAAAGATGCTGCCCTCTGGGCCACATTGCCTTTAATACCCAAATGCATAAACCTTGAAAAGACTTGTCACTCATTTGCTCATTCATTCATTCAATAAATATTAGATTCTACTCTGTGTTAGGCCATGCATTAGCTGCTAGAGATACATGAGGGGAAGAAATGAGAGAGATTGTCCTGACTGTATTTTCTAGTGAAAGAGACATTAATTTTAAGAATTATATAAATTGATATAAAATTAGAACTTAGATAGATACTTCCAAGGAGAGGTATATGGTGATCTTAGAGTGAATAAGAGGGAGATCTGGCCTAGTTAAGAAAGTCAGAAAAGTCTTCCCGGAGGAAGTGATAATTGAAGTATAACCTGAAAGAAGAGAATGCATTAACTGGGTAAAAACAGAAGTCAGGAAGGGAGCCAGGGGAATGTTCCTGCCAACAGATCTTCATGTGCAAAGGCATAGTGGCAAGAAGGAGCAAGATGCACTTGGAAAACTTAAAAATGTAAGCCATAATTTCAAGATAATACATGCAAGATCATCTTTTATTTATAAAGCAAAATATATCAATAGATATCCTAAATTTTGTAATTACTATTACAAGCTTATCATTTATTGAGCAACTATTATGATTGAGAACCCTCTACTGTGTATGTAACAAATATTATCCTTTGTAATATTTATATGAGCTCTTTAAAGTAGTTAGTACTATCCCAATTTTATACATGTTGAAACAAGCTCCAGAAGGTCACACAACTAGTGAACAATTTCAGTTTGAATATATCTGGGATTTGGCTTCAAAGCACTTACCATAGTTCCAGGTGACACTGAAAGAGAATGTCATTTTAGTTAGTAAGGGCCAACAATAGGGAAGAAATAGTGTGGAAAGTATATTTTCCTCTCCATGGTTTTCACTCACACTTCGCTTGCTCCTTCCAGGTGGGCTAACCTCTATTTCCTGTTCCTGGTGATTCTGAACTGGATGCCCTCCATGGAAGTTTTCCACAGAGAAATCACCATGTTACCATTGGCCATTGTGCTGTTCATCATCATGGTCAAGGATGGCATGGAGGACTTCAGGAGACATCGTTTTGATAGAGAGATCAACTGCTCCAACATCTGGATATATGAAAGGTAAGAGAAATAATTCTTCTGTTTGCTTTCTTGCCAATAGGATATGCAAATTCATCTGCATTTCAAAGGATTGGTCTCTCTTCTCACATTTTATTTTCTTAAATTCACTTAATTCAGTGATTCTCAACCAGGGCAGTTTTTCCCAGCAGGGAACATTTGACAATGCCTGGAGACATTTTTGGCTGCCATATAGGGAAGGAATTTGCCAATGGCATGTAGTAGATAAAGCAGAAAGATGATGCTAAACATCTTACAATATACAGGATAGCCCTCCACAACAAATAATGTCAGTAGTGCTGAGATTTAGATACCTTAATTTAACATGTGTAAACACTCAAATTATTAAATACAAGAATGTTCCATTATTAAGAGTAGGGTTGAAACCTCAAGAATTGATGTCTAGAATTGACTGGATCATCTTGGGATACCAAGTTTAAGAGCAGCTCTTTGGAGAGTGACAGGCAGTGTCTCCCAAACAAGAAAATGTGTAACACTTTTAAAGCATCTGAGGCTTCTTTTTTTTCCTCTTAAAATTTTTTATTGTTATGTTAATCACCATACATTATATCATTAGTTTTTGATGTAGTGTTCCATGATTCACTGTTTGTGCATAATACCCAGTGCTCCACGCAGAACGTGCCCTCTTTAATACCCATCACCAGGCTAACCCATCCCCCCACCCCCTCCCCTCTAGAACCCTCAGTTTGTTTTTCAGAGTCCATCATCTCTCATGGTTCACCTCCCCCTCCAATTCCCCCCTCTTCATTCTTCCCCTCCTGCTATCTTCTTTTTTTTTTCTTAACATATATTGCATTATTTGTTTCAGAGGTACAGATCTGTGATTCAACAGTATTGCACAATTCACAGCGCTCACCATAGGACATACCCTCCCCAATGTCTATCACCCAGCCACCCCATGCCTCCCACCCTCCCACCCCTCCAGCAACCCTCAGTTTGTTTCCTGAGATTAAGAATTCCTCATATCAGTGAGGTCATATGATACATGTCTTTCTCTGATTGACTTATTTCACTCAGCATAACACCCTCCAGTTCCATCCACGTCGTTGCAAATGGCAAGATCTCATTCCTTTTGATGGCTGCATAATATTCTATTGTGTATATATACCACTTCTTCTTTATCCATTCATCTGTCGACGGACATCTTGGCTCTTTCCACAGTTTGGCTATTGTGGACATTGCTGCTATAAACATCGGGGTGCACATACCCCTTCGGATCCCTACATTTGTATCTTTGTGGTAAATACCCAGTAGTGCAATTGCTGGATCAGATGGTAGCTCTATTTTCAACTTTTTGAGGAACCTCCATACTGTTTTCCAGGGTGGTTGCACCAGCTTGCATTCCCACCAACAGTGTAGGAGGGTTCCCCTTTCTCCACATCCCCGCCAACATCTGTCGTTCCCTGACTTGTTCATTTTAGCCATTCTGACTGGTGTGAGGTGGTATCTCATTGAGGTTTTGATTTGGATTTCCCTGATGCCGAGCGATGTTGAGCACTTTTTCATGTGCCTGTTGGCCATTTGGATGTCTTCTTTGGAGAAATGTCTGTTCATGTCTTCTGCCCATTTCTTGATTGGATTATTTGTTCTTTGGGTGTTGAGTTTGATAAGTTCTTTATAGATTTTGGATACTAGCCCTTTATCTGATATGTCATTTGCAAATATTTTCTCCCATTCTGTCGGTTGTCTTTTGGTTTTGTAGGCTGTTTCCTTTGCTGTGCAAAAGCTTTTTATCTTGATAAAATCCCAATAGTTCGTTTTTTAAAGATTTATTTATTTATTTTGAGAGAGTGAGAATGAGAGAGAGAGAGAGCACATGAGAGGGGGGAGGGCCAGAGGGAGAAGCAGGTTCCTCACTGAGCAGGAAGCCTGATGCGGGACTCAATCCCGGGACTCCAGGATCATGACCTGAGCCGAAGGCAGCCGTTTAACCAACTGAGCCACCCAGGCACCCGCCAATAGTTCATTTTTGCCCTTGCTTCCCTTGCCTTTGGCGATGTTTCTAGGAAGAAGTTGCTGCGGCTGAGGTCGAAGAGGTTGCTGCCTGTGTTCTCCTTTAGGATTTTGATGGACTCCTGTCTCCCATTTGGGTCTTTCAACTATTTTGAGTCTATTTTTGTGTGTGGTGTAATGAAATGGTCCAGTTTCATTCTTCTGCAGGTGGCTGTCCAATTTTCCCAACACCATTTGTTGAAGAGACTGTCTTTTTTCCACTGGACATTCTTTCCTGCTTTGTCAAAGATGAGTTGACCATAGAGTTGAGGGTCCATTTCTGGGCTCTTGATTCTGTTTCATTGATCTATGTGTCTGTTTTTGTGCCAGTACCATACTGTCTTGATGATGACAGCTTTGTAATAGAGCTGGAAGTCTGGAATTGTGATGCCGCCAGCTTTGCTTTTCTTTTTCAATATTCCTCTGGCTATTCGAGGTCTTTTTTGGTTCCATACAAATTTTAGGATTATTTGTTCCATTTCTTTGAAAAAACTGGATGGTATTTTGATGGGGATTGCATTGAATGTGTAAATTGCTCGAGGTAGCATTGACATCTTCACAATGTTTGTTCTTCCAATCCATGAGCATGGAACATTTTTCCATTTCTTTGTGCCTTCCTCAATTTCTTTCATGAGTATTTTATAGTTTTCTGAGTACAGATCCTTTGCCTCTTTGGTTAAATTTATTCCTAGGTATTTTATGGTTTTGGGTGCAATTGTAAATGGGATCGACTCCTTGATTTGTCTCTCTTCTGTCTTGTTGTTGGTGTATAGGAATGCCACTGATTTCTATGCATTGATTTTATATCCTGCCACTTTACTGAATTCCTGTATGAGTTCTAGCAGTTTTGGGGTGGAGTCTTTTGGATTTTCCACATAAAGTATCATATCATCTGCAAAGAGTGAGAGTTTGACTTCCTCCTTGCCGATTTGGATGCCTTTGATTTCTTTTTGTTGTCTGATTGCTGTGGCTAGGACTTCTAATACTATGTTGAATAGCAGTGGTGATAGTGGACATCCCTGCCACGTTCCTGACCTTAGGGGGAAAGCTCTCAGTTTTTCCCCATTGAGAATGATATTTGCTGTAGGTTTTTCATAGATGGCTTTTATGATATTGAGGTATGTACCCTCTATCCCTATACTCTGAAGAGTTTTGATCAAGAAAGGATGCTGTACTTTGTCAAATGCTTTCTCTGCGTCTATTGAGAGGATCATATGATTCTTGCTTTTTCTTTTGTTAATGTATTGTATCACGTTGATTGATTTGCGGATGTTGAACCAACCTTGCAGCCCAGGGATAAATCCCACTTGGTCATGGTGAATAATCCTTTTAATGTACTGTTGGATCCCATTGGCTAGTATTTTGGTGAGAATTTTTGCATCCATGTTCATCAAGGATATTGGTCTGTAATTCTCCTTTTTGATGGGGTCTTTTTCTGGGTGGGTGTCAAGGTAACGGTGGCCTCATAAAATGAATTTGGAAGTTTTCCTTCCATTTCTATTTTTTGGAACAGTTTCAGGAGAATAGATATTAATTCTTCTTGAAATGTTTGGTAGAATTCCCCTGGGAAGCCATCTGGCCCTGGGCTTTTGTTTGTTGGGAGATTTCTGATGACTGCTTCAATTTCCTTAGTGGTTATAGGTCTGTTCAGGTTTTCTATTTCTTCCTGGTTCAGTTTTGGTAGTTGATACATCTCTAGGAATGCATCCATTTCTTCCAGAGTATCTAATTTGCTGGCATAGAGTTGCTCATAATATGTTCTTATAATTGTTTGTATTTCTTTGGTGTTGGTTGTGATCTCTCCTCTTTCAGTCATGATTTTGTTTATTTGGGGCATTTCTCTTTTCTTTTTGAAAAGTCTGGCCAGGGGTTTATCAATCTTGTTAATTCTTTCAAAGAACCACCTCCTAGTTTTGTTGCTCTGTTCTACTGTTCTTTTGGTTTCTATTTCATTGAAGCATCTGAGGCTTCTTGTTTTTAAAACTTAACCAGTAGGTTTTAGGACCTAGAGTTGGCACACCTGTTCTTGGCTGCCTGAGTGGAAAAGGAAGATCCCCGTGGGTGACGTTGGTATTCCAACAGGAGGAGTCTCAACAGGTAGAAGGAAGTGGCCTGGCAGGTGTACACCTGTTCTCTGCAAGCTTTTTCCTTGTCATTTTCACCTGGTGTTTGTAAAACATCTTTTTATTTTTAATTTTCCTTTTGAAAGAAGAGAGAGAAATTTCCAGCAGCAAAGGCAAGTAAAAGATGTCAGGGACATGACTCACTGGCAGCTCAACAATGGAACTGATTAGGGAAAATACTCTTTTACGCGGAACTCATGTGCCGTGCTATGAGAATTAAAGAGACGGATTGAGCAGAGATGAGAAAGGAAGGGAAGAAAAGGTGGAAAAGGAAAGAAGACAAGAAACGAGTGGTAGTCTCCAACCTGCCCTCTGAAGGACGGTCCTACAAAGAGAATCCCAACAGGCATTATTGTGGAAATCAAATTAAGACCAGCAAGTACACTGTGTTGTCCTTCATACCCAAGAACATCTTTGAGCAGCTACACCGCTTTGCCAATCTCTATTTTCTGGGCATTGTGGTTCTGAATTTTGTCCCCGTGGTCAATGCTTTCCAGCCTGAGGTGAGCATGATACCTATCTGTATCATTCTGGCGGTCACTGCCATCAAGGATGCTTGGGAAGACCTCCGGAGGTACAAATCTGATAAAGTGATCAATAACCAAGAGTGTATCGTCTATAGCAGGTAAAACAAAACCCACTGGGGAATCTTGTGGGCCTAGCTCTGATCTTTCTGTGGCTGTTGCCACTACTGCTACTGTTTATAGAGGAGATGGATTAGGGAGATAGAATTATTTTATTTCAGTAAAGCTGTTTAATTCTCCACAGTCAGAATTATGATCTAAAACAAAAAACCAGATTTAAAAAAAAAAAGGCTTGAATCTGTTGTTTATTTTTTTAAAGGATTTATTTATTTATTTATTTATT